AGTGTGAAGAAATGTGTTAAAGAAACATAACCTTTAACCTTTGTGTTGTGAAATTCAATTAGATATCATTTCCTTATTGCACCATTACTGAATGACGGTCTAAGAAACTTTTTATGGCTATAAAAATTTCAACTATAAAGCCAGGGCTCCGCCACACGCTCAAGGTTACGCGATAAGTGCCTACCGCTGAGTGTATCGCCGGCAGAGCAAGCGCATACACAAGTCTTATTTACATTACAATACATGTACAAACTCAGCATTTGGTTCCGCACGCCTGCACTCGACGGGCGTTATTAATGAGCGCCTGGTGTCATTAGGCAGATTTAGTAGGCTGTTATAGCGCAGGTATTTTCAACTTTGTATGAGAGTGATGTATCTGTTGCGTAGTAATTATTAAATAATCTGTGATAAAGCTGGCATTCCTTTACAATTTTCTATTGAATGCGTAAGGAGGCTTTGAGAACCAAAAGATCGGCAAGGGGGTCAGGTATCATAGGGCATCGATTGTAGGTACATAAATGAATAAAATGGCAAAGGATTAAATTTAAATGAATATAGAAAGGATATTAGCTTTACTATCAGTAGTAACAAGGGCAATAATATTTACGTATTAGTACCTACAGGCTCAGTAGCAAGATGACAAGTTAGTTCGTTTCAATCCTAATGGATTTCTTTCTTTTTTTGTATAATTACAGAAAAAGTAAATAATCGAGTTATTGACCCGACCATAGACAATTTAGTGATAGCCAATTGTAATGTCAGCGACCAATTGTAATATAATTAATGATGTGATGAATCGATTTGTTTAATTGAATTATTTGGAATAACAGTTCTTTGTGCGATTTCGCTGCTGGTTATTAACAAAAAGTATGAAATTCGATACTGAATGATGATATTTTTATATAAAGTATTAGTAACATGGTGAACTTATATTACTTGTGGCTTTTCTTACATGTCCTTTAAAAGTAAATTTGAAATTTTCGATAACAGAATTTGAAATCCACCTTCAAATCATTATTATTAATTATGTAGTAGATACTTGTTCGATTGTGATTGAAATATTCGATTTACTAATCGATTACAAAAACTTTTTTTAAATTATAGACAATCTAGATTTGAAAGCTAACCTAATTTTCGGACGAACATTTTTCAAATACAAATTTGAAGTTGTTATTTATATGAGTATTGTTGGAAAAAGTGATTAGATATTAAGTCGAAATCTTCAAAATATACGTGGAAGTGTTACTTGTTCCATATTTATTGACGCAGCAGAACTTACTTCACTTCCAAACCGCAGCACGTTCTGCTCAGCTGTATAACTTCTATTCTAACATAAACATTAAGTAACGATATCAGATTATACTTCATTTCACACGAGTCCTGTGATATTTCCAATTTTCACTCTCGACAAGGTTACAAAAAGAAATAGTAAATTTGTCATAATGTACCCAAAACGAACAATATTTATTACAGTTGTAATTTTAAATAAAAGATCCTATATATTAAGTACAAAGAAAAAGAAATGATAAAGATAAAAATAAATTACCCCAATCACTTGAAGCGCAAATCCGTTATAACATAGTAATTTGAATCCTTTCTATTTTGTTTATTATTTGTTCTAAAAATGACTTTCTGTAAATTGATTCTCTATTCCTTACAAATTATGTCGATAAGACATTTAAATCGATTTTTTTTCATTCCGTTTTGCATCACCACATCTCTAGAAACTTCAAATTTCACACGTCACCGGAATCATGATATGTGAAATGATGGTGATTTTATTCTTTACCAAAATTTGATCTCCACATGCCTGCCTGTATTTCGTCGCTCTCATGTTTACCTTGATTGTCGTTGGAGGGATTTTCGGAGACATTTTGGTCAGGTTTTGTACGTGAATTGTCTTTTATATCGGTTGTCTGATTTTTATGTTCATTGTTGTCTTCACGTCCCGGTTTTGCAGAGTTTTCAGGTGTTTTACTGTTAAAATTGATTGTAAAGTGATATTGGTTACCTTGTATTTTGTCAACTACTTCATGAGGTATATTTGCTTCAATCTTGAAGTTAATGTCTTTGTTATTATACTCCGCATTGTATTTGCGGTCGCAATTGCATTGATTTTGATTTGGCTGGTCTGTCGAATGTTCACGTTTATGTATCACAAGTTTCTCTCTGACCTGTGAATAATTGTCTGTGACAGAAATTTTTAAATCATCAGCCTTTTCTAAATTTAGCCGAATCGAAGCTGGTGGAGCGCAATAATCGGTCACGTAAAAGTTTAATTGGCAGCGATAGTAATGCAACGTAACATCATATGTACAAGGTCCGTTGCATGTGTAGTTGAAGGAACTTGTCTTTGTTGGAGATACCGGCGAGGAGTTGCAATAATCTAAGTGGCCATTTGGTGTCATGCACAATTGAGTATGCGTCCCGAAATATCCGCAATTACTCATACATTTGGTGCTGTTATGGTCAACAGCACGACTCGTATAGAAGACGAAGGGCAATTCGTCAGTTGTGTAACACGCTTTCGTTTCTCCGCTAATGTCGACAATACATTGGCTGTACTTACAATCACTCATGCACTCTTCACCGTTAAATGTAAATGCTTTAGTTGTATACGTCCAATCTTCAAGTTGACTACTGAATTTACAGAACACGTTATTTATGCAACATATTAATAACA